CTGGGAGGGTGTGAGCTTGGTGGCGTATCCGTCGTCAATATACTGTGTAATCTTGGCGCAGTACGCTTCAGAGAATGCAGGGTTCCTGTCCATCTTGCGTTCAATGGACAGGAGGCGGCGCGTTGCTGACGTTTTACTCTCCGGTAGGCTTACATCAGCGTCTCGCCACAGCAAGCCGGTCTCCCATCGTTCCCCAATACGTCTTGTGGTGGATTCCAGGATCCTTTCCGCCTTCGCTTCCTGTCGCGAGCGTATTTTCTTGCTGCGGACTTGTACACCAAACGATTCTGTGGTGAAGTAGTGCTTCACCTGTTGGTGGAGACCGATATCCGTGTCCTCAGCACTGCCTTCTTCCGCTGTGTCAAGTCGGGCATGCAGTACCTGATCAGTGCCACAGAGTTTGCCGTGCATCGACCACCCCAGCTTGCACCGGCTCAGTGTGGGTGCGTTGGCAAGATAACATGACAGTTGTCCTGGCCAATCAGCAAGCGCCGCTTCTTTGTCGCGCTAAGAGGGATGTCTGCGCTGCTCACGTGTGGCCAACGCTGTCGCTGATGGTTGATGTCGACATGCTGGGCTGGTAGGTGCAGCTCACGCACAGTCCGGGCCGACAGCTGGAGGTCTCCGTCCTGACCGCTCACGGTGATCATGACCTCCCTGGAGTCAGGATCTTGCTGGCACATATCGTTCGTCCATGCTAGCGTCAATGGCCTACATGGCCCTTCTGCACTCACCTGCTTCGCGATGTCTGAATCCAGCAGGGTGACCGTTGATGCTTCATCCAGTAGTGCGGCCGTGTTCACCACACCTTTCGGTCCGCGGATTGCTACCGGCACTGGCCTCAGAACGACTCTGCTTTGCTGCTGGGCGCTAGCTAGGTTCGTGCGTTCGACATCGTCCTTCCTCTTTGGTGGGTGCAGCATCGGATGGTGAAGCCGGTCACAGCCATCCTTCTTACAGGGCGTACTGTCAGGGCACTCTCTAGTGCGGTGGCCCTGGCCAAGGCAGGTGAAGCATCGTCGTTCTGTCTTGACCCATCTCCAGCGTTCGTTGCTCGTCTTGCGTGCGAATTCTCGGCACTCAGCCACCGTGTGGCCTGCCCGTCCGCAGAAGTCGCACTTTCTCTCGCTGGCCACGAAGGCAGTCTGCCGCTGGCCGCTCTGTCGAGCAGTCGGTGGCGGCTTCATATTGCTGCCTGTTGACACACACTCTGCTGCTGTCGTGTCGAGTCTCTGAACACAACAGAGCGCATCTGCTCTCTTTGCGAGCCACTCTGCCAGTGTTTTCATCGTCACTGGATCTTTGCACTCTGCTACGTGCTCTCCCCATTGACGGGTCAAGCTGCTCGGTAGTTTCTGCACGATCTCCTGGCGGAGCTGCGGGTTAGCTAAGTTTCCTGTGCTCTTGAGGAGCTCCATGGTCGACACCAAGTTGCTAACCGAGTTCGCCAAGTCAATAAGCTGCTCGAAGTCGTCGTCTCGCAACTTAGGCATGGTCTTGACCTGGGCAATCATGGACTGGACCACATGGTCCGGCTGGCCGAACCGCATCTGGAGAGTGTGCATCACTCGATCAATGTTGTCCGGTACGACGAGCATTGACTTCACACTGTCCAAAGCCTTTCCCTTCAAGGCTCTCTGCAGACGGGTCATGTTCTCCTGGTTGGAGAAACCACACTCTGCAGTGGAGGCCGTAAACGTCCGGTTGAACATCGGCCATGCTGTCGGATCACCGTTGAAGGCCGGCAGGTCTTTTGTGGCTGATTGTCTAGCCATCATTCTCCGCAGGTCCTTGTCCGAGGTGTTCTGGTGGGCTGGAGTGGTCGCCCTTGGTGGGGTCAGCTTATCCGACAATACCTGGGCCAGCTGTGACACTGCTGATGCAACAGCTGTCTGTATGCTGTCACCTGATGTGGCCTGCGTCTGCAGGCTAGCAGGACCATCAGTGCTTGCTGGTCGTTTCGGGGGTCCATCCTCACGGCACCCTGCTCCCGCGCTCCTGGACGGAGGGAGATCGCATGTGAAGGGGTCGGCACCGGCCGCACCACGTGGCTCACTTTGCGCTTTGGTCTGCAGCTCGCGCCGTTCCCGGTTGGAAGGTGCCATGTCCACCTGCATGACTGCTAGTTGAGCTCTGGTCTCCTCCAGCTCATACTCTAGATTACGCACTTGGTTCTCCAGGTCGCATGACGTGCTGGTGAGCTGGCTGATGTGATGGTCTCTGGCTACCAAGTCACTTTGGAGACGGTCGTTGCTTGCCTCGGCCTTGGCAAGATCTCCCTCCAGGGATTTGATCACCTGCACCTGGTCACTATGCCTCCCGTCTTCCTGGAAGATCCGCTGCTTCTGGGTTGCAATCGTCTGTTGCTGTAGCTGGAGTTCGTCTTTCAGTCGTCTTTTTTCTTCAAGCTCCACAGTGAGCTTGTCGTCATACGCTCGCTCAATAGAGCCAGTGTTCTGTCGGCATAACTTCAGCTGCCCCTCCAACTCCTGGATCCTTATCTCCACAGCACACAGAGGCTGCACAAGGCTGGTGGCTGGAATTACTGCTGGAGTAGCCGCGTCATGTGGGTCACTGTCCGTGTACCCCTGGGCTGGCATGACACTTTGAGTCACTTCGACTTCCTCATGCTGTGGGTGCCGTTCTGCGTCTTGAGCAGATACTGGTTCTTCACCATCCCTCACGAAGTAGTGTTACTCCTGCATGTCCATTGCCCTCTCGCTGTGGCAGTAGTCGAGCACGGGTGCTGCTGTGCCTCCGTTGTCGACCTCCTCGTCGGCCTGAATCGTCGCCAGGTCGGCGGCGAGCTGGAGATTGGAGAGTCTCTTCTCGCTTTACAGCCTATGGCTTCTCGCCTCCTCTTCAAGTGCAGCCACACGCTGCGCTGCCACCAGCTCCGCTATCCGCTTCCTGGCTTCAGCAGCACTGCTCGAAGAGCGTCGAGAAACACTCGAGAATCGGCTCAGTGTCGAGGAGGAGATACTTTCGGTTTCCTCCGCGACGCTGCCTGCGACAACTTTACTGATATTGTCGCTCCTGCTGCCACAAGTCGGCTTCACTTTCCGGCCTTTGGTCTCACGTTGAGATCGCCTGACCTGTTCACTGTGCGGCTTGTCGACGTCCATTATGTTTCCGTCCGGCTGGTTCGAATCCGGCTCGAAGGACCAATGTTTTTACCTCTTGTCTTGATTAACCATTCCACAAACGTAACGTCGTTACTTTATTATTAGAAGACTGTATTATTACTCTTTCATTCTCATGCCAAACAGCTAACTCATCCTAAAACAAGAATGACCAAAAACTAGTGACCTGCACCACCGAAGCAGGAACCTAAAACTCTAACACACCAAGGAAAACAAGCCCCCTCTACGCCTACGGATCACGGACTACCATCCCGATCCTAGCGTAGCGGCAAATGATACATACTAGTACAAGTCGATGACAAAAGCGGTGCCGGTGTTAGGTGACAGCTGCATACGAATGCATGAAAGGGGTCAGACAGTTCATGTATCATGTGTACCGGCAGTTGTAACTGGAGCCGACTGAAAGTCAATACATCAATAGCAGTGTTAGTCATACATGAAGCCCAGACTACAGAAAGTGTAGCAGTGGATACAAAGTAAGTTGCATACGACGGGTGTTGCTTGTCGCCAACGTCGCCTACGGGGGCAACAGTTACAAAACCACCAGTTCTCCTGTGGGAAAGGCATTCTCGCTTATGACATTGTATTCGTTGCAATGTTGTAACTCGACTCCGCCGTACCGCTGATTTTTGCTGCATGGTATACGCTATATGCGCTATGTGTGATTCACTGTATACACTATCATGTCATGTTATATATGTGTACGCTTTTCTGATATGCGCTGTCTTTTGCATGCTATAAATACCTGGTGATCTAAGTGTTAGTTATTATGTTCGAACAAGTGAAATATACCGTTAAGAGTCAATAGTTGTCCTCGTGCCGTGTGCAGTGTGGTCGTTCGTTCCTGACACTTTAGAGAATCAGACGGTTCACAACACCGTTCTCAAAGCATGTAAATGTACATATCTGTACTCAGTATACTGTATGAGGTGACTTCAAGATTTCAAGATTTCAAGTACCGCTTTGAGCCAAATTCTGACTTTGGGGCTCATAGTATGGCCGAATTTGGACATTGTCTTAGCCGATAAAATTAGCCGATTAGGCGAGAAAATCGGGCCGATTTTGGAAATGACAAAACACAGCTTCCCCATCACTACCTCTCTCTCTCCCTCTTGTGTGTGCCTCTGCCCCTATATGGGTATTGAGCACTCTTCGGACAATTGAGCACGCTAGTCGATTACGTTTAATCAGCATTATAATTAATCACTCAGAAAGTGGTGGGCATCACGCAACTGCATCGCAAAAAAAGGGGTTTTTCAACTGGCAACCGCCCTATTCAGTTGCTATTCACTCTTGGCGCAAGTGCTGGATGAAAAATTATCATATAGAGTAGCTTTTGGAGCATTATGACTAGAACTATACAAACCATTTTCGGAGCATTATCTGCTGGATCCCAGCACTGGACGGGACAACAACAAATACAACAATGGAACCGAGAAGCACTCAAACACCAGCTTAGCATATTTCATGACTTCCTAGAATTAGTGTCAATCATTACCGGCAGTGTATTAGTGTTAACTGTATCCATTACGTGAGTTTGTTTTGTCCCTCGTACATTTTAGAGCCTCGGGCTAAGAAAAGGGTGCTATTGGCCTCACTCGCACAACTGAGAAAAGGGCACTTGAAAGCAGGGTACAGACCTTCGCTCTGTAAAGTTGACTTCACATCTGTGGCCGTTACTATTAAATACTTCGAGATTTTTCAACACGGTTTTCCGCATATGAATCAGTGAGATTTTGAGTTTTAAGTATGCTATCTAACTCAATTTGACCAAAAATAACAATAGCACCCTTTTCTCAGCCCGAGGCTCATTACATTTTATGTACTCCTTGTGTTTCAACCTGGCTGGTGGTCTAGAGCGAGTTGAATGTCTACATCAGATTCATAATTGCGACTCCAATGCGACGTGTACCAACACGGTTAGGTCCTACAACTGCACGTGTAACTCTGGGTTTTACGGTGACGGCATATCCTGCAAAGGTATGTTACAATTGTTATCGGTATGATAATGTGTTACGCCAAATAGAGCTTCAACGGAATGGTTTTGTTCTGGCAACTTCAGTTGCGCTCCGTGAAATCCAGCCCATAGTGCACATTTGGCACCCTCAACTTGTATGGCCTTTGACGCCCTGAAAGCGGCATGAATGCATCTGGACGTACAAAGGGTCCAGCGGATAATGCCGGAATTTTGCTCGGCGTTATGAGACTATCCGAGCATCAGAGCATTATGGAGCATTAGATTCAAACAAAACGAGCATTGTGTGATGTTTTAGCGGCATAAAAAATTGCATAGTAGATAATAATTTTGAAATCCCTGTTCTTTTTCTCAACAATCTGCTATATGCAGTCATGAGATGCAACCCTGGTCGTGTCTGAAATGCATAGATCTACGGTTGGAGCACATTCTACCATGCACCTGTAGCCATACATGACTTTGTGGACAAGTAACACTTTTAGCACTTTGTTCGCTGTAAGTAGCAATGCAGTCAGGTACGTACCGGTAAATGTACAGTCATGTACGTACAGTCGGAGTCAAAGGAATATGACGCATGATAAAAGCCAAAGGCAGCACCCATGGGGCCCTAGGATGTTTTTAAACGGTTTTTGGATGGTGCAAGATGTATGGTAATGGAGTTTGGACTTGAAATGAGCCGAGGCACTACAACCAAAGATGTTCCACAAATTCGAAACGATGATTTACATGGAGTAGATGTTTGTTTAGAAATATTGGAGAGCCATGGATCATGGAGAAGACAGACGAAGAGGAGTTTTCTCGTTGTGCCTCAGACCCTGGCGATGGCGTCTCCACCAGGATGAAGGAGCGGCTATGAACAGAAAGCGGAGAGCGTTCCAAATAACTGTCTTTGCTATGTCCAGCCGAGGCCAGGAGGCTCGAAGAAAAACTAGAATTACCCGTACTCAAGGACTCAGTTTCAAATCCATATGAGCTCTCAGCATTGCGTGCCCGACTTTTCTAGTGAAGCAGGTACTGGTAGTTGTGGACGGTTGTAATGCCAAGCCTGCAGTCAAATGCTATAAAAAAAATAGGAGTATATTGGTCCTGCATTTATCTATACAAGACCAAGAGGAGAAGAAACCACCACAAGCAAAGGCTGTAGAATGGTACAATAACTTCCTACCACGTGTTTTCCCAAAGTTGGAGGGATCTCAATTCATGATCATCTCTCACGAACTGACTTAATGTCTCCTGTTTAGGATAAGTCACTTTTCACACAGTGGAATCAGTGACAAGTTGTCTGCAGGCAGGAATACCACTTGCCAAGATAAGCTTCCAGCATCCATATGATCACCAGTAATAATGGTTTTCACCTCTCAGTACCTGGATAATAAGGGGAAACGATTTGATACATCCACTATTCTGCCACCGCCCTGCATCAAGTTGCAATGGAGAGCAGCCACTGGAGAAGCGAAAATGTCTTAAAGTAATAACAGGTGGTAGACCCGGTGGGAGATATTGCGGCAGATTCAGAGGCAGATAGACTATGTGGATTCCTTCCTTGAAGTTTAACAATTTACCGCCATTCTTCCTTTTCTGTCTCAAACCAAGATCATTACATCCCTTTCATAAGCATCATTATCAGCATTATAAGGCAATTATTGGAGCATTATTGCTAGCATTATACAAAAGTTTTCATAGGCAAGAACAGCACGGCATAGATCAGAAATGGTCCAACGTCAAGGCGGCTGTCGACAAGTCTGCTGCGGCTGTCTTGGGCTTCTCCCGGCGTCGCCAACCAGACTGGTTTCGGGAGGCAGAGTCAGCCATCCAGCTATTGCTAGATGAATGGAATCGGTGCTATACCGACTGGCTATATGTAGGACTCAGTATAGAGTCCATGCACTATATGATGTCCAGCACCCTATATAGGGTTCATTGGTCCAAAATCCACTATACAGAGTCCAGGAGTCCACTCAGTTTTGATCAGCTTCATCCTGCCGCGCAATCCCCTATAACATAACGGTCCAGGAGTCTTGTTTATCCAGTAACGCCGTCCTGTACTGTGTGTTGTGCCCGAAAGAGAACAAACTACTTTTCAGTTTTGCTTGCCTCGTGGCAGCGCATTCCTTTCGTCACTTCAGCCATGGCTGTCAGTTCTGCTGTGCAGTTCCTGACAGTAATCTGTCTCGAGGTAACCAAGGAGGACAAGGAGACGTTCAAAATCAAATCTGGAAAGCGTCTTGTGGTTCTCTGAAGACGTTTCATCAGTGCGCGGGATGAAAGCAGAAATTGCAGAACGAGAAAAGTTCAGCACAGTTCAAATCTGACGAGTCAGGTGCACTGACACTCTCTTTCGTTCAACGCCACAAAGATCCCCTGTTTGGCTGGCCATTGCTGCCAGTAAGACGTTTGAACGGTTTCATCAGAGCGAGGGATGAAAGCAGAAAGCGGAGAACGAGAACAGTTCAGCACAGTTCCAATCTGACGAGTCAGATACACTGACACTCTCTTTCGTTCGACGCCACAAGGATACCCTGTTCGACTGGACAAGAGCTGCCTGTACCACCGTGTCAAAAGGCTGTCCAACGACATGGCAGGACGATGACTGAGGTAAGGAAGCTTTTACTCGTTTCGTTTGGTCTGCGGTTCTGTCGTTATGCTTGAATTTGTTTCCATTTTCAAGGAGCGTATCGCGTTTGTTTGATGTTGCTTGAATGAATGCCCTAAAAGTAATCAACCACTTCGTAATAATCCTCAAGGACTGCAAGGACTTTGCATCAATCGTATACGATCGTCAGCTATCATCAATTATTATTTTATTTCATGAGAAATGTATTTTTATCCCTGTGATAATTATGTGAACTCCACGACACTCTTCCTCTACTAGGCTCTAGTATGATGTTAAATGCAATGGGATCCACAAACGCAGTGCCAGTGTACTAGTAGTAGTAGTAGTAGGAGGATTTCTTGTATGCCGATGACAAGAAAAAGCTTCTCAAGCTAATACATGTACTCGTATTCCATGAAGTAACCGTTTTGATGTCACAAACATGACATTGTGTCAGTGAAACTGCCTCGTGACAACAAATCGTTGCATTTCCATCTTGGGGAAGACTGACTGACGGCAACGCTGTACAGATTGTTCAAATCATCTCATTTCAATTTAGTTACAGTGAAGTGAAACACTGTGTACACTTCATGTATGGTGGTGTGTCTGTGCGTCTTGAGTGTGCACAAACGACCTTATTCCTCGTATTACTAATAGATGATTGCCCCCACCGTCACCTGTTCACAGGTCTTTGCGTGGATGGATTCTCATTGAGCATCACATTCGTTGAGAACTTGGTAGTTGTGTGCTCCCATGCATCATTACGGTAATAAGCGTATCCTGGTGCTATCTATTTGTTGCAGGTGTGCTGATCTTCAGAAGCTTGCGGAACTGAGTGCTGCTGAACATTTGCATGGCCATGAGCAATGGTGAAGCTTGCTATTGCACTCTCAGCAAGTCCTGGTATTATGCTGACTACTGCACTATGTTACTCTCTTACACTGCTACATGTATGTAAACGTGCGTGCATCCGCCCACGTATGCATTCGTTTCGTATAATTATTTGTTATCCCTCTTGACTTTACGTGTAAATAGGTGGACGTTTGCATGGCTGTTGGAGTTGTGTGTGTATTGTGTCTCTACTCTTTTCTTGGTGTTTTCTTGGCGTTGTATAAGTTTGTGTGTGTGTGTGCGTGCGCACAATAATTTGAAAAAAAATCACGGTTCGCGTGAGACTCGGCTGGAAGCCGGGCTTTCCGCATTCCGCATAATTTGAAAACAAATAATTAATCCTTGGCTCTCCATTATTTTCTTTCAATTCTTGTTTTTTTCTAGGTATTTTCTTGGCGTTGTGTGGGTGGGTGCATGTGTGTGTGCGTGCACAATACTTTGGCAACACTACATGATTGAGATATTGTAATTTGCAGCGTCTGCGAAGAGACCACTTGATTTGAGGATGGTGTTTGTAGGGTTTTTCATGTAATGAAGTGGCTCCAGTGGCGCCTCAATACTTATTTTTTATCTTAAGAAGTGAATGATGTAAATGATTAAAGGGAGAGGCCGTTTTCTGGTTAATATTCACTGCTTACAGCAGATCCTATGTCTAATTTCGAACTCTGGATAGGGGATGCCTAATTGGCTGGACTTTATACAGGGAGTGTTGTCCACATAAAGACTCTTTATAGTTGATTTCAAAGTTTGGACTCTGTACAGTTGATTTTGGACCAATGGACTCTATATAGGGGTGAAGCCAATTGGCTGGACTCTATACAGGGAGTGATGTCCATCTAAAATTTGAGCTCACAGTTGATTCCAAGTTTGGACTCTGTACAGTGGATTTTGGACCAATGGACTCTATATAGGGGTTGGACATCATATAGGGGCTGGACGCTCTACTGAGTCCAACATATATAGTGGCCAGAGCCGCGACTGCTCGCACTACACAGCGTTTAAGGTGGCTAGATCCAGGGCACGTGTTTCCATATCCTCGGCTAGGGTAGACTGGATAAAGGCAAAGGCACAGGCGGCCACAGAGTCGAGATTCAATGCAGCGGTTGTATGGAAGTGCATCCATGACTTCCAGTCTTGTACCCGGGGCCTCGCCCCTGTGTGCACTTCCGCCGTGCTGGATGAGAACGGTAACATCTGTAGTTCACCAGAGGAGCAGAGCCACCGGTGGGGAAGACACTTTGACGGTGTCCTCAACGTGGCAAGTGCATGGAATCGCAATGCCCTGGACGACATCCCACAGCGACAGGAGGCTGATCATCTTGCTGAGGCGCCGACTCTCCGTGAAGTCAGCCGCGCTATCTCCCTCCCACAGAACCGCAAGTCTGCTGGAGCCTCTGGCATCCTCCCTGAGATGCTGAAGAGGGGTGGCCCTGACCTCACCGCCAAGCTTGTGGAGCTGTTTGGTGATGTGTGGCGTGCTGGGGTGGTTTCGCAGGAGTGGGTGGACGCCACGTTGGTCCC